TGAATACTTCAATTCTCATAGTTGTCTTCTGTGAGAAGGGGACTTTGTGGTTGGATCAAGGGGGCCATTTTTTAGCACATTGGCTCCGATACCACTTGTTGGATGTAGGAGGAAGATAGCTTTCTTGTGAATTTCTTTGCTTTTAAAATACAAATACACTTAGGATCTTTCTAGACTCTTTGTACACCTTTCTAGTGGAGTTTCCCCTCTAGACTCTTTCTACACCTCTCTTAGGATCTTTCTAGACTCTTTCTACACCTTTGAATTATCATACACCCTATTTGCTTGTACGAATTTACAATAATACACAAGAAAATTCTGGACTTCACACATTCCAACTTTGAAATCCTCTCTCTTAGTTTCGAATTGTAACCTTGGAACTGTACAAAATTTTAGTACAATATTCCAAAATTATCCTTCACATAATTTTCTCAAAGTGTGCCTTACATTATATTCAAATGCCCAAAATAACTTTTAACCAAAATCAAGCTTATTTCTAGCACTACTGACCAAGGAGAAATTATCTAAAAAAGTGCCATGAACTTGTTAGAGATCAAACATTTGAGCCCACATGATAAAAACCAATACACCCGAGGCCTTTGTGGTTTGCTAGAGTCGCTTATCAAAAGAGACTATCAACCACGAAATTAGTGGGGCTATCATGAGTGCAAAAAATGCTTCTAGCAATTTTATTCCAAAAGAAATTTCACAGCTAGCTTGTAGACAAGCTTTAAAGTGCATCTCACCATTTTATATGTGGGTTATATTGTGAGAAAGAGACCTGAGAGCAAAGGAAGATTGTCATCATACAATTGAAGGGATTGTGAGGAAGATAATATGACAGATTTGAAGTAGGATCTCGAAATAGAGGTAATATCCCCATGGAATAGAAGAGAAAAACTCAGTAGGAAGATGGGGATGCAATTTCCCAATTATCCTTTACTGAGTGAGAGCAAATGTAATGAGGTCGGATACATACAGTGATAGACATAGGGAATAGGAAGATTGCTTTGCTTGATCATGCTAACATGTCCAAAGATTTTTATAGTTAAATTTTTTAGTCTGGATCCCACACGATATGTTTGGTTTGGGATGGGGCCCAGGGCCCATTTCATTTTTTTGGTCCGGGTCGGCGTCTGGGCCTAGGTCCTATATCATATTTTTTTCGGGTCCGGGTCGGCCCAACCCGTTGCCCCCTGTGATCATGATGTGGAATAGCTGCAATTGGGTAAAATCTTAAATAGTTGATATGTAAATTTCGATAATTTTCCAAAACCAATTTGAAGTAAAATAAACCACCAGAAAAGAAAGGTGAGTTTCTTTATTTCAATTATTGAAATTCTAGGTCATTTTACAAAATCAGCGAAAGTGTTTGAGGACTTCAAGAATCCTGGTTCACTCTTCTCAATTAAGAACGATATGGAGCCCTTACATTAATCTTTGCGCTTCTCAAATTATGGGGTGTATATTAGATTATTATGTAAGGATTTTTTTGTGTAAATGGAAGTGCAATTTGGATGAGAGTTGGCTACCAAAAGTCAACCCATCTGGGCAAAATCAATAAGAAGGCGTATCTTTGGAGGAGTCCCAAATGGAGATTTTTGAATTTTTAATAGTGATACTGGGCCCAGAAAGGAATACATGAAATACTCCCATTAATAAAGATTAAATGCAAATAGCAATAGTAGATGGATCTAATGTTGATTTTGATCCTTGTCTGAATAAGTAGTCTTCATATGAGTTGTATGAGGGAAAAAATCATAAACAACTCAGCCATGGGAAGACTCCTAACCATCTCGTAAGTTTGGGATGGGAATACATAGCACATCCCTCCTCATACAAGTATGCAGTCGTCGAAGTTTGTTATTTTTTGGTTAAGTAAGTGGGGAAGGCAGGCCCTACCTGATTTTTTAAATAGTTAAGGAGTTGGGTTTTTGAAAGTGTCGGTGAGAATGAAAACCACAACGTGGTAACTAGGGTGTGGGGGTGCTACCATCTCAGTCTTGAAAGTTAATATTTGAAAAGGCCTTGTATCGGTGAAGTATTGCTGAAGACAAGTTTACTTGGGTACCTATTGACTGAAATTATCTGAAAAAGTGCCATGAACTTATTAGAGAGCAAACATTTGTGCCCACAAGGGAAAAACCAGTACACCTGCGGCCTTCATGGTTTGCTTGAGCAGCTTATCAGAAGAGACTATCAACCACGAAATTAGTGCCAAAATGCGGCTATCATGGGTGCACTAGATGCTTTTTATGTAAAACCGATCGTGATCATCTTTCTCGCTAGATATACTTTTGTCGATAACATTTGGAAAGTGGAGATTCAACACCTGAGCCATAGAAACATCCAAGGCCTCCTAGCAATTTTGTTCCCAAACAAGTTTCACAACTAGCATGTAGACAAGCTCTAAAGTGCATCTCACCCGTCTATATATTGTGAGAAAGAAACCAGAGAGCTAAGGAAGATTGTCATCATACCATTGAAGGGATTGTGAGGAAGATGATATGACAGATTTGAAGTAGGATCTCGAAATCAAAGGTAATATCCCCATGGAATAGAAGAGAAAGTCTCATAGTTGAAAGATGGTGATACAATTTTCCAATTATCCTTTACTGAGTGAGATAGAGCAAATGTAATGAGATCTACTACCTTCAATATTGAACTTACAATCTCCATTTAAAGTATTGTTTCTCAAAAAGAGAGTTTGCTATTTTTTTCTAGTAAATTACATCTATGGACAAAGGGAGGATGCATCACTGGCTCGTCTATTTGGTGGCAATGTAAGTTTTTTAGGAGTGACTCCAAAATATGGATTGGTTAAATCTAACAAAAACTAAGGTTCTTGAGTAGCTTGCATTTGGTGGTGCATAGAATTACATTTAGTCCGAGGAGCGCAAACCACTAAAGCCCATTGGGAAACTTATGAAAGTACACCTAAGAGATGAATTATCTAATATTGTACCTATTTCTTTTGATTTAATTTCAAAACACCCAGTAAAATACATATGATCATGTAGGGGGTGGCAATGGACCTGGACCCAACTTGGGACCCGAGGGGTAGACCCGATCTGGATCCGGGTATGGGTCTAATAATTGGACCTGGCGGGTCCGGTCTGGGTATTTTTGGGTCCCAATATATAAAATATATTTAAATATAGTTAAATACATAGATATTTTAATTTTTGCGTGGGGTCCGAGGGGGTCAGGTCCGGGTCCCACACTAACATTTTTTGGTCCGGGTCTGGGTTCGGGTCCCATTTCATTTTTTTGGTTCCTGGTTCGGTGACCCATTGCCACCCCTGTGACCATAATGTGGAATAATTTCAAATGGGTAAAATGTTAAATAATCGATATGTACATTTTGATAATTTTCAAAAACCAATTTGAAGTAAATTAAACCACCAAAAAAGAATGGTGAGTTCCTTTATTTCAAATATTGAAATTCTGGGTCATTTCACAAAATCACAGTAAGTGTTTGAGGATTTCAAGAAAATCCGGTTCACTCTTCTAAATTTAGAAGGATATGGAGCCCTTGCATAGATCTTTGCACTTCTCTACTTATGGGGATTATATGGATGGACTTTAGTTAACTAGTTTTTTATCTTAGACTGACTTCTAGATTGTTTAAAACCAACTATTTATGTGACTGGACGTGCAACTTTTTTATGTGAATGGAAATGCATTTTTCAATCAATCTTGAAGGGTATTGCAGGGAATTTAGGTTCCTCTAAAAATCTCTAAACCAATTCCATCATGTCGTTTATTGACTACAAAAACAAGGCTTCATATCAAATGAACTCCTGGTTTCCCTACATTATCTGATGAATTAATTACATTCTTGAATTCAAGAATAGTATGGCCACCATATTGTTTAGTAATCTACCTAATGTTTTTTGTGTCTACCACCCCAAACTTGGGAGGCAACACTAGCCCCTCTGTATATTTTTCCACACACATTATTTGGCACCATTATATCAAATTCGTTGGCTTGGGGTGTGTCATGAAGATCGAGAAAATTGTTTTGAGCACTGTGTCTTGTCACTAACATGCTCACAACCAACCAATTTGAAATCTAAATGATAAAAGGGATTCTAACCTTCTTTCACTAACAATAAATGGTCTCTTGCATAACTTTTCCAATAAAATTTGGTAGGATAGCTAGAGAAGAAGCAACTAAGGACAAGTGGGACTAACATAAACCACCTCGGAAGTAAATCCATCGAAAAAATTGCCACAGAGACATTGAGATAGAAAAAGTACACTTCCATTTAACTTATATTAACAGAAGAAAGAGAACTTCCATATAGCTTAGACTAATGAGAAAGAAAGTATATGCATACATGCCTATAATATCTCTGTCCTTAGTTGCAAAGCTTATATATCGCCTTATGGTTTATATCCAACCATAACCTTATTAATTACACAACTCAAAGCCATACAAAGCCTCTTTGTTTTTCTTAGGGTAATTCAGTGCGGAAGACAGGCTCCTACCTACCCTTTTTTTTATAAGAGTTAGCATTTTGAAGGTGTTAGTGGGGTGCTGTCAGTGACAATGGAAACCACAATGTCATGACTTGGGTGTGGGGGTGCTACCACCATGACCCGAGCCCCTTTCCCTACCAAGCCTATTTATTGTTTCTAGAAATGCAATTTTTTTCTCAAAAGCATTTTCATACACACCCATTTTCTGATCTCAATTGGAAACTAGGAATGCTGAAAACTTATAAACATGAAACTAACAAATGGGCTAGTTCACATAACCATCATGTGCATGAAGAATATCCCTCAGGTCATGAAACCAAAGATGATTAGTTAAACCTAATCTTCCTCGTTCATCAAAGATCATTAGTTAAACCTAATCTTCCCCTACAAATTGCGATCATTCGTCTTTCAAACATGGTACCAAAGCTTGTATCATAGTTCTTTATGTATTTGAAGTTTTGTTTTGATTTGTATACTTTTTATTGATTTAGTGAATATTATGTACTTTGTTATAGTTCATGATGGAAGAATTGGACAATATGAAAAGCACAGTTCGTGCATTGGAGGCCAAAAATAAGTAAGTTTCTTTAGAATTGCAGAAGAACCAGAGTCATTGTGGACTGTTAACATAGGCATTTGGAATATCAGATAGTTTCATAACCCCTCTGTTACTGTTACATGCATTCACCATTGATATTTAGAAGCCTTTTTTTTTTTTTCTGAAACTGTGATACTTACAGGCACTTATGTGGACAAGACCTGCTGCCCCTCCAGTTGAAAGAATTGAAGAAGCTCGAGAAAGAGTTAAATACTGGCTTGGATCGAATTCGTATAAGAAAGGCAGTGGCACTAACTAGAATCATGAAATTTTGGGAAACTTATTTGGGCCATTAATTTTTAACTGTGATGTTTGCCTTGGTTATTTTCCACTCTTCTTATGCAGAGACAGGTACTTTCAGAGCACACTTGCCTTCTGAAAGAAAAGGTGCAAACTCGACCCCATAATCCATGGAAACATAATTTCAATTGCATAGTCCAAAATTTCTTTTTGGAAAACTATGAATGCACCTCTGATTTTGAAAGTTCTATGAAGAAATGCAGGTTTTCAAAATTTAGTAAAGATAATTGTCTACATATATAGTGAAGGTGCTCAAGAAAAGGTAACTGTGGAAGAGTAGGATATAGGGTGGGTGGTTGCTTGGTCCAATCCATACATTTCTTACCATATTCTTAGATCTGGTGCTTACATCCTTACATTGTGTGGGCAAGGAGGTTGAAGAATATCACCTATGCTCAAAAACCAGGTATTTTCCTTCATCAAGCTTACTGTAATGGCTAGACCAGGGAGGGCAAAAATGTCAAAAGCTCATGGAAGTATAAGTTATTACTGGATGTTTTGCTCCCCCTTATTTGGGGTCTGGCCATATGTATATGAAATATATTCCTCTTGCTCTTAAAGCACCTAATAGGAACAAACTGGTTTAAGGATCATTGACCACATATAGTTTAACAGCAGAGTTAACAGGGCAAAATAGTAAAAATGAACACTCTCAATCTAGTGGTGCTTTTGACCTGCCTGAGTCCATAAAGAAGAATACTTTTGCAGCCATTGAAATTACTTAAAGGAGAGAAAAACAAGATGAAATCAAAGAATAAAAATTCCATTTCTAAATTATAAAAGGTCCTATGCTGGCACCATAGATCCCTACATTAGCTCCTCTTTGAGCCTTTACAATATTAACAAGAGGCAGTCAGTTTGTCTTTTTTCATCATCATCATGATTCGAGCCTTGTTTTAACTATTTGGGGTAGTTTTCATCTTTTTTGGTTCAAAAAATGATGGGAAGAATTAATGGGGAGATTTGTGACATGGACATAGGTATTTATGTTTTTAAGCATGTTGACACACATGGACCCTGCAGTCATATCTAACACTTCACATCCAAGCAAGTAGTTGTGAAATGCACCTGCTAATTGAGAGATTGTGCACAGCTAGCCATGTTTCCAATTTTCTCACTATCTTTAACTAATTTTATTTCACTGTTTATCTGGATCCCGTCTAATCTAGAGTTCTCATAAAACTGTTTTGTTTTACCTATGTGCAGTGTAGAGATCTCAAACGTGAAAATATGCACCTTCAAAGAAAAGTAAGATATCCACAAATAGAGTTTATATACTTCGAGGATTGTATGTAGGGTTGTTAATTGGTCTGGTTGGGTTGGATTTGCATCGACCCTGATCTGGGCCTAGATAGACCCAAACCCGACCTTGACCAGTGTTCAATCTAGTTCATTGGACTCAAACCCCCACTGTACATGGTTGGGTCCAAGTCTCAATAAAAAGAAAAATAAATTTTACCTTATATATCGTATAATATATAAACAATACTGCATATACAAGTATATTATGTATAAAAGTCAGGTGCTTCCGGTAAGGTGGATCTTGAATCAAACACGAGCGAACCGGATAAGTTATAGGATAGCCTCAAACTGGGTCTAGGTTATTTGGACCTGGACCTGATCCACTTTCTTCAATATTTTGGTCCAGAAACATGCATGTGTTGGGTTGACACATCCGACCCAATTGCCACCCCTTATGCTAGGCTGTTATTAAGCATGCTACATGTAGCATCAACTGTCCATTAGGGAAAATGGATGGCTGATGAGTACTCTTTTTCTCAAATGGAAATAGTTTTTTGTTTGGTAGTTTAGTGGGGTGGGGTCCTCCTATCTGTGGTACGAATGGAACTCAATATGTTATGTTGTGGCAATCTACCACCTTGACCATGTAGCCTAGAGCCCATACCTGCTAAAATGGAACTTAGCATACTTAAATGGGAAATGGTTCGAATCAGTTGTCACTATTTGATAATGGACTGTTGATTGAAACCACTTCTAGATACTTGGCACACTGAAGACTTGCTACCAGTACCGTAATATGCTCTTCCTATTTAAAATGTTTTTAATTATGGACTAATGTTATGATATGTTTGCTTGAATTTTGAGAGCAGCTGGTGGAGACCGACAGCGCTCTTAATAACTTGGAGCAAGGGGAAGGTGACAAGGCCATCCAAGGTCAGTACCTTAGAATTTAGTCTCAATTGAGTGCCTTTCGCTCTCTATAATTCCCTCGGGTTTATTCATGACTTTGAAAATGCATTACTTATGTGAAAGATGAAATCAAACACCCTGCTCTCAAGCAGTGCTGATATTTCTCGTGATTCATGGCACAGGTTGACTACTATTCCTTGGGATGGAAGTTCTCTCTTCCTCTCTCTCACACAAACCTTAAATAATAAGGATGAAATCCCACACTTGAGCAAACTAGTTTCTAGTAAATATGTTATAAGGATGAAGTCTCTGACTCTTGAATAGCAACTTCTAATTCATATGTAATTAAGATGAAGTGTCTCGTTTTTTATTTTTTTGGTGGGTGACAAAACCCTTAATAATATGTAATAAGCATGAAGTCCCTCGCTTGAGCAAACTGGTTTCTAATAATTATGTAATAAGGATGAAGTCTCTCACGTGTGAATGAGCAAACAACTTCCAATTAATATGTAATAACGATGAAGTCTCGTTTCTGTTTTTTTTTTGTTTTTGGTGTGTGACAAAAACTAACATTTTAATCAGTTTTCAGATTACATCGAATGCATTTGCCAACATGCCATTTACGTAAAGGAAAAATAATTAAATAAACTACATAAAAAAATAGAAAATGATCTCCCCACAAAATGATTAAAGCAGCAGCGTGAGCACCCATCTTTTCTAGATCATCAGTTACTAAAAAATAGAAAATAAGAATGAACTCTACCACACAAAAACAAAGTTTAAGGGAAAAATTGTATTCATCGAGCACATGTACAGTTTTATTTAAGGGGGTGTTTGATAACAGGAAGCCTTGGCTGTAAGAGTGTAGCACTGATTTGGAAGCTGCAGCTTCTTACAACTTTCAAAGCGATATTAATAAATAAGGAATCCATGGCTTTCATGTTACTTCACGAAAGGTGCAACTATTAATATTGGTGGAAGATGACTCTTTGAAAAATTTACTTTTGAGATTGAATTGTATTTTAATTACTAGAATTTAATACATGCGCAATGTATGTGCATATCATTAGTATATGTTATACACAAATATGTTGTTATATATGGGAGAATCTAAGGTTAGCCCACTAGCTAACAACGACAGTATAAGTCCAATGATCCAGATTGAATTTGGGTCGATACAATGATCACGATTGCATTTCGTATTTGAATTTTAATTTATCTTTTGAATATTGGAGGATTTATTTTTAAAAAAATAGGAGGATTTAATAAAAATATAAAAAAATAAATCTTCAAAATTAAATTGATCAAAATACATCTAAAACTTTTAAGGGTATTTTTGCTTTTCGAATTGTTTTTTAATATTTTTATTAGATGAGCTTTGATTAGAAGAATTGACATCTTAAATATCATGTGATTTGGATTTGTAGAAAAAATATTAAAATTATATTACGAAATGAGGTCGTGATCGTCAGATCGACCTAGATTCAATTTGGGCTGTTGAGTTTATATTATTCCATCAATCTATGGGATAAAAAATTGAATTAAGGTGCACTTTAAAAATTCACTAAAAGTTATTTTGATGCTAGAAACACCCTAAATTCGATTATTTCAACCTCTAGATGTATCGACTTGAGAACAAATAGATTGCAAGTTTGGAAATAATGCATATTATAATGTATTAAAAGACCATAAATTTTCAAGATTTTCAAGTGTTCATAGATATGTTGATTTTATACTATTTTTTAAAATGATGGTGTAGGGCCACTAGCCTATAGATACATTTGAGTCCAACGACCCAGATTCAATTTGTTTGATGATCGTGATTGCATTTTGTATTTGAATTTTAACTTTTTTTTCTTATAAATTCAAATCACTTGAAATTTTGACGGGTTTTTTTTTTTTAACTAAAGAATCTAAACAAAATATTTCGTGTAAAATAAATTGATCAAAATACCCCTGAAGGGTATTTTGATCAATTTATATCTTACAAATTACTTTCTTAATGTTTTTATTACGTGCACCTTATGAGAAAAATAGATACCTAAATTTTATGTGATTTGGATTTGTTGAACAAAACTTAAAATTAAAATACAAAATGGTGTCGTGACCGTCAGATCGGTCCAGAATGAATCTGAGCTATTAGGCTTATATGTAGCCGTAAGTTAGTAGGCCTATGCTATCATTTCCTTATCGCACGGTCACGATTGTCTGGTAGTATTTCACATTTTATTTTTTTCTTCTATAAATCGAAATGATATCAAATTTAGAGCGTATGCATATTTTAGTGAGGCGTACCTAATAAAAATATGAAAAAAATATTTCGTAAAATATAAATTGATCAAAATACCCCCGTAAATTTTCAGAGGTATTTTGGTTAATTTATATTCTACGAATTATTTTTTTTATATTTTTATTAGATTATCCTATTTTTTATGAACACATATTCCAGATTTCACATCATTCCGATTTGTAGAAAAAAAAATGAAAATTGAAAAACTACCAAACAACTGTAATCGTGCGATGAACTTTGAACGATGATGAGCATAAGCAAAATCACTGTTCATTTTCGCCTATAGGCATTGCGTAGTGTTTTTCATATATATATATATGAGCAATGATATTATACAACCGTTGTATAGTAATATGTTGCAAAAAGGTTAAAAAACATTCTAATGGCCAATTGTTTGATCCAAATTTTGAAATATACACTCTTTTCATTGTAATGAACAATCACAAACAAAGAAAAAAATGAAAACACAACCTAGAAAGTATTCTTTTGGCCCAATTAACATAGACCATTCATTTTGATGAGATGCTTAGATTTAGGCCTTAGAAAGATTTTTTCATTTCTAATTTTTTTGGATGGCTTTATTATCATAGATAAACAATGTTAAAAAAGAAAAAAATGATTTTCAGTTTATAAAGGCTAAGATTTTGAAATTCACAAAATGAATGTTCTAGATTCGTTTTTGGAGATGACTTATTTTGACCATATCTAGGATTCAAATTTAACTTTTTTTTTTTTCTTTGGAGATTGATTATTGAGATGAAGAGAGTGTGTGTGCCAAATTTGGGGTCATACAAATATCGCAAACATGGTTTTCTAGAAGTGTTGTTGTATTATACTTTGATACAACTGTTGCATTAGATCATTGCTTTATATATATAGGCAATGATTTCATGCACCAGTTGTATAGTAATATTATGCAACAACCTTAAAAAACCATCTTATGGCCATTTGTTTGATTCAAAATTTGAAATATACACTCTTTTTATTCTAATGAACAATCACAAAAAAAAGAAAAATTGAAGATAACCTAGAAAATATTTTTTAGCCCAATTAACATAGGCCATTCATTTTGGTGAGATGCTTAAATCTAGGCCTTAGAAGGATTTTTTCATTTCCAATTTTTTTGGATGGTTTTATTATCATTAGATGAACAATGTTAAAAAAAAAAAAAATGATTTTGAGTTTATAAAGGCTAAGATCTTGAAATTCACAAAATGAATGGTCTAGATTTGTTTTTGGAGAGGACTCATTTTGACCATAAATAGGGTTCAAATTGAACTTTTTTTGGAGGGGGGGTTGATTATTGAGATGAATTGAGTGTGTGCAAAATTTGGACTCATACAAATATCACAAACGTGGTTTTCTAGAAGTGTCGTTGCATTATACTTTGATACAAATGTTGCATTGGATAATTGCTCTATATATATTATAGGAAAAAGTTTATATAAGGATGCAACCTTATAATGTAGAACTACGGATGCAAAAAAAATCGAGCGGAAAAGGTAGTTTTAATGTTGAAAAACCCTTTGATTGATCATCTCGACATCGAGAAGTATGTCCATGAAAAATAAAAAGATTTTAAGTCTCAGAAATAGTGCATTTTACAAGATGTTCATATGTAAATAGATCTACTTGATTTTAACCATTTTTGAAATTTTAAATTTTATAATTAGATATAAAAATAGATTTTGAGATAATTCTAAGAACATTTTACATCAAAATTATAAACCATGAAAAAATTTGAAGGTGCACCTTACCTCTACAACTAAGGATGCATCCGTGTAT